TCATGATTTCTTCATCTGCAAACTCATTCAAAATTTCAAGTTTGTATTTGGTTGTTTAAATATGGAATTTTGATTTGCTATGGAAAGTTCTTAAGAATAACTGATTATTAAAGCCTAATTTTGTCTTGTATTCATTAACATATTTTAGGAAGTTCAATGTAGTTAAGTATGCAAGAGCCTTGTCGACTTGTTTAATTATTGTTTTAAATTCAGTTTTAATTAAAGAGAGGTATCAGAAGGGTGCAACCACTAATGAAATAGAATTTGGAATAATTAATTGGACATAGGTGCTTGTGTATTGGGTCTCAGAAATGTCTAGTGATAGTAGCTCTTCTTACTTATAATGTTTTGAATATGAGTGTCATTGATGTCTTGCTGTAAATTCCTTAAGGTCAAGTACCAACGAGTCAAGAATCTGGTTTAAAGGAACAAATATGATCACATTCATTACTTCTATCATTTTGCATTATAGATATATGCTTTGTTATTTCACTTTCATCATCCGCTCATTTCATCCATGAAAACCTAGTCATTTCATAACACACAAATCACACACAAACATCTATGTACATTCTTATTGTTGTTTATCGCTCATTTACTCGCTATCATTTCATACACCGCTCACCCAATATCGCTCATATATATGTATACCACTCACTTGCCACCTAGAAGGTTAGCAGAATCACCAGAAGGGTCGGTAGAACGATCTGCTCCGCCAACGAGTTCAACTGCATAAGTGGTTTGCAAAGACATTCAGATAGTGGCTATTTCATCCTAGGCTTCTTGCAACTCCTCAAGGCCGCGAGCTGCTTTGTCTAAATTCTTCTCAAAAAGGACTTTTTTGGCAAAACTCAGAGAGCGAAGGGTCCAGCCTAGAAATGGGTTCAGACAGCCAGACTTCGGTCCAGTTGGGCAATACAGATCGGAAGTTCCGTCAATCTTTGTTGCATACTGTCCACTTCAGTTCAAATAAATTCTCGTTCCACCCGAGAGGGCTTTGACATTTTTTCTTCATCTGCAAATTTTTGGCGTTCCTTGGTAAAGGCGGAGATGTGCATGCTTTTCTACTACTCCAAGGCAAAAAGACAACCATTTTTCTCTGATTATCGTCCTGGGGAGTGCGGAGGAGTTTGGACTTGTCCGTTACGTCCCCTACTCGGTCTACTAGACCTTCCAGAATGGAAAACGCTCTAGATCTCCATTTTTGAGCTTCTGAATCATGCGAAACAATGACATCTAGATAAACTTGAAAGTTTGTGAAATGGATGGAAGACCGGCCATTAGGGTTTCAAGAGGGTTCTAGGGCCGTACCACGCAACGGGATTCAACAACTAGCGAAGTAGCGGAAAAATACTTATCAATATCCGCTAATAGAATTGAGGTTGGCGAAGCAGTAGCTACAAATTCTGATTCGGACTCAGGGACTAGAGGAGAAGACGTTATCTTAAAAGTTTTTGTGTTTGGCTTTTCGGGGGGCGTCTGAGAAAACAATGTGAAAATATTTTCCTTTACAAAATACTTCTAAGGATAAGAAAGGGAAACATGGTGATACCTAGCGAGGAGGAAGCTTTTGCAGGTCTTTTGGGGGCAATAGTTGTACGAGGAACACCATCAGAAATAACCAATTGTTTAAAAAAATGGGGGGTCTGCGAGTGTAGAGCCAGAGTTGATTGTTTTCTCCGGTAGCAAGTGGTCCTAATGTCTGCCCACCATTCTTCGAAGGCTGGCGCGACTAGGTTGAAGTTGGTGAGTGAAGTAGGTCAGGGCTTCCATTTCCAAAACATAGGAACGCCACCGTGGCAGGTCAGTTCAAGAGATATTAGTGTGGACTTCGGCTAGTGGTCGAAGCAAATAGCTAGTGGCCGGAACATCTTGTGTGAGGCCGAATTGTTGGGCTAAAAACTAAGGCTGATAAGGTTCGGTGCAGAAAGGATTGTAACACGAGGTGGAAGAGCAGCCAATGACTAAGGGTTGAGCCCCAAAACACTTATTTAAGCAAACGCTAGAACTGGGGCTTTGGGCTGGATTACTATCCTTTAATCGGAGGAACCAAGCGGGACCACATCGTTCGGTCTGGGATAGGCATGTAATAGATAGTGGACAATGGAATGACAATTGCCTATGGACAATGGACCAGAGAAAAGCAAATTTCCTATGGAAGAAGAAATAGATGATAGACTTGGCTTAATCTGTGGATTCCTGAACTCAAGGAAATAGAGTCTTGCCCATAAGTTTAAAAAACAAAAAGGGCCAATAACGTGGGGATCCTTAATAGGGTATTTGGCCGTCTTGTCAAGCACATCATTTATGCCCCGATAAAGAAATCCTAGGGAGTAAGAAACCAAGTCTATTTCCTGCCCAAACATAATGTTGCGCCGAATTGGTTCGGCTTCCCTTACTACTTCCTTGGAAGCAAAACAAACGAAGTATTTAATCAACCAGAAAAATAATAGGGCACTATTTTCGGACGGATCGACATCCCTATTCAGGGCAACGTACTGAGTAACTGCTCAAAAAACCCTACGGCCAACAGATTTATAGAGTGAAGTGGGGAGTTAAGAGAGAGAAAGTGGGGGAGTTAAGAAGACCTATGAATGATTTGAGGTAATATTTTCCCCAAACATTGAGTAGTGCGACAGCAGCAGGAGTGGTTACATCCTATCCAATAAACGGATGATTTAAGATTAATTTTTCATCTCATTTTTTGGAGAGGGGCAATATGTTGGGCTTGCAAAATGGTTTGGTGGTTTAGCCTAAATGAGTAGATGAGGGCCATCGTTCTTCCATTCTACTATGGAGTTCCTTATAATTCTTTTGCCCAATCCCTCCAATCCTTCAATAGGCAAGGGTAAGTGACCGTGGATGGAGTGGCAATCACAACAGCTCCATATGCGACACAACAAAACCACTATTGAGCTGAGACTGCTGAGCGCCAATCATATGAGGCTACCTTGTTAAATAGACTATGGAGTTGGTTTCATTTGCCTTGATATACGAAACCTTGCGAGCTGTCAAGAAGCAGGTTGTAGCGGATTTCTGAGCACAACACCCCAGAATGGTACAACCTGAAAAAATTCTATTTTTGTTCATAATATTGGAACCTTGCCAATATTATTTGATGGATCTAGCATATGAGATTCTACCGTTACTGAAGTTGTCACCACCAGACCCAAAGGGGAAGAATGACGGTTTGTATATCAACTATCATCAAGATGTACCAATAATCAAACGGAATATGAGGCCTCGTTGATAACGTTACAATTTTTGGTTTCTAAAGGAGTGAAGTGTGAGTATAAATGGAGATTCTAAGTTGGTAATTTTCCACACCTTAGGAGAATTCATATGTAAGCAATTACATATTTAGGGTCTCCTATGGGAAGTCAAGGAGTTGATGAGGCAATTCGATGAAGCGATCATGGAGGATGTTCCTAGAAAGAAAAATAGAGAGAAATGAAATGGTACATGAAACTTCTAAATACTAGAATGAGTGTTTGGTGTGGCATCAATCGTGCATGTCAACAACTAGCCAGGTGGATTAGAGAAAAGAGTATTTAGATGGGGTAGTTGATCCTAATAAAGTAATCTAGAGGCACGTAAAGGAGCAGTTGGTCAAATACACCATGCTAGATGGAGAGTTATTCTGTTGAAGGTTGATGACACCCTTGCACGATGTTTGGGGCCTGAGAAAGTGAGAAAAATAATGACAAAAATGCACAAGGGTATTGAAAGATATCATAAAAGTGGTTCAAACATGAGATAGATGGCATTTCAATACAATTAGTTTTTGCCAACTACCATGTTTAGATCATTTATTGTGTTTTGATTCTAGTTTGCTTCTTCTCTCCACTAATTTTTGTATTTTTAGTTTTCTCCTCCGTGTTTTTCCTTCACTTACTCCAACAGATACACCTATATATTGAGAGAGCGAAGTGTTTTTCCTTCACTTACTCCAACAGATACACCTATATATTGAGAGAGCGAAATATGGAGGATTGGATCTTGCAAGGGGCAACAAATTACAAGCAACAAGCCACTAGGCAAATATGGATAGCCAAAGCACAACCCACACCCATAGAAATTTGTATCGTTAATTTGATCACTCACTCGCACTCACACCTGTTTGTACCAACATATTAATTATTTCAATCATTCTTTTTACACATAAAATAATTTGAATCAATTTATTATTCTCTTCCATGAATGTTGAGAGATTCCTTAGTTCTCTCAATATTCATGCAGCGTACATATGTTTTCTCAGTTTCAGGTATCCCACAAGTAGTGTGAAATCGATTGCAATTACAATTATAACTTCCATATATATATATATATATATATTTAGATATTGTTTTGGGGAATCATCTAAAAGAGCAAGAGTTTCCATCCTAGTCGATCCTTATTCGCATTATATAAATTGGTTGTAAGATAGATTGGATTGTTGCTACTATACAGGAGATTAATCAATTGAGACCAATCGAGGTATGTGAGATAGCATCATATATATATATATATATATATAGTCAAATAACTCTGTAACCAATTATTTTAATTTTTAACCAAAGATGGATGAATTCATGTGCTAAGATCCACCACTTGGCTATAGCCAAACTGTGATATCCTCCCTTTGGGAGGGGAGGCTTGCATACATATAAAGAAGTCAGTGTATATCCTAGATTTATGATATTTTATCATTCGTTCATTCAACTCCTCTACTAATTTCACCCTCTTTTCTTATTATTATAAATATAAAGAAAATATAACCATCAGGTAAGAATGAGAATTTTGCTAGATGGGAAACATCAAACATGTTTAGTTAAGATATGAATACTACTATTTGCATGAAGCCTATCTATCTATCTATCTATCTATCTGCATATTATTCGAATGGCACAGGGCGTGAAAATAGCCATACACTACGACCAATGCAATATACCCAAAAGTCAGTAATATCACAACAGCTTGAACAAGAAGAAATCAATCAGTTTAAACTAACTTCAACCTGGTTGAACAAAAATATGAAACCCATATAATATAATGGTAGGTAGGATGACATGTCAGTGAAGCTCAATATCTTTCTTTCAGAGACTGCATTGTATTAAAAGTAACTAACAGGACAGAAACGGTGAAACTAAACAATAATAAGTAACATGGACCTAGGTGTTGGTGGCTCTGGTGTATATCTGTTGGCTTGAATGAGCTGACACCATTCTGATCAGACCTCTAGCCATCAATTCCCTTATTGCCTTCCTTGCTAGAGATCCACTAATCTGTTGCACAAAAACATCATCGTCAGTCAGTCAATGAAACTGAACTTTCAAATATAGAGATGTATAGATGGAAACAAAGTATGTACGTACAAGTTTTTACAGACAAAATCGTTAAAATAGCACAGGAAAGGAAAATTTCAATTGAAAAACTCAATCAATAATGATGTGTGGAAAGTTTTTTTATGAGTACAAAAATGTCTAAAACCAGCAATGGTGTGCAATAAATAACAAAGTGCCAATAATCTTATTGACTTATTCCAATCAAATATTCTTTGCGAAACAAAATGTGCCTTGGGCGGAGGGGCATTTTTATTATTGAAAATCTAACCATCCACCTAGAAACATGAATCACCACTGAAGGAGGGACAAACTAGAAGCCATCAAGTGTTTGAGAAACAAGAGGCTACGCATAACTGTATACAATAGAACAACTGCTCCTAATAAATTAGTTCCCAATGAACTCTGGCCCCAGCTGCCACCACAAGCATCATTGAGTAGGAGCAATATAATCACTGAATCAAGCAGATAACGGACCCAGATATTACAATGAAAATTACATTAGCAATGGATTACCATACATATTAATGGTTCTTGAAGATGCTGCTGCTATTACACTATTCACATTTTTGTGCGTGTGTGTTCATATGCCTGAGTTGAACTAACTCATATGCGGGATTCTTGCTCTGAAATGAATAGTTCTAAAATTCATAATTTTAGGATATTGAAGTGAATGCAACCCTAGATTCTGTCAACCATTCATCTCCTCGTATCATGAAGAAAGCAAATGAGCTATACTGACTGCGTACGAGGCCACTCAATCAATCACGTCTCTTCATCGTATCTTCAAGCAGTTCCCAACACAAAACCTTCTTAAATGACTACGCCTATTTTCTAAATCGAAATAAAATCCTAGTATTATTCACAATGTATAATGAAAACAAGCACGGGATAAATTAGCATTATTAACACATTCAACCATGCATAACATCTTCGACTCAATTTCAGCAAGCAGGATATCAATACGGATACATCAAAATATACCGACCGACCAGTAACTATAAATATAAATGAAGACAAATTACGAATATCAAAGAGCAAAATAAATTACCCGGAGACGATCGGAGAGAACGGAGGGAGTAATGAGCTTGAACTTTGGTGCTTCGGTCAGCAATTTGTCGTAGGTTGCTTTGTCAAACAGCACCATGTTGTTAACCTTCTCCTTTTGCTTTCCCTTGCTCCACTTCTGCAGTAATTAGATTTTTTTGGCGAACAATTTTTCTGAATTAGATGCCCAATCCACACAAGATTTAAACAAAATAATAATAATAATAATATTAAATTCCAAGACGAGATTACAATTAAAAATATCTTTATCAGGCCATAACCTTCTTCTTCTGCTTGCCTCCTCCGGACTTTGCCGGCTTGGATGACGGCGGAGGAGCCTTATCCTTCTTCGGTGCCTGAAAAAACGAACACCGAATCAGTATTCAACAATAGGTAATCAGATTCCAGCATATTTTGAATGCAAAACTCAGAATAGCAGCACAGCGGCTACGCACCATCGATAAGCGACTGGTTATCTACTGATCTGAATAGATTCACGAAAATATGCAGCGAACGAAGGGCCGGCGGTATGTACGGCTCCACTGAACTCAAGCTAGGGATTTTATCCGCCTGCGAAGGCAACGACTTCGTATGGAAATGAATGGGCCTGTAAAAGGCCCAAAACAGAGTAATTGGATCTTCTATGGCCTGTTTTCTGGTTGATGGATACTTCTCACTTAATTTTCATTATTAAAATAAAAAAAAAAAAAAAAGAATTGTGTTCAATGAGTTTTTATTTTTATTTTCTTTTATTTTTATATTGTTGGGCATATTTTATCTTTGGATGTAATATTTTAAATAAATATTAGTATTTAATGTGGTATTTGAGGAATTAAGAAAAACTGAATTTGTTTTGTGAAAATAGTTTGAAAATTATATTTTTTATATAAGATATAGAGAATTGTGTAGAAATATAAAAATAACAAATATGTTTAATGTATTATCTCATTCATTTTAGCTAATTTGTTTCATTTAGATATTAGTGAAAATAATTATGATTTAATAAAAATAATTATAATTTAAGATTAAAATGATTAAATAGTTAAATTTAAATAAAAAAATTATAAATTATAAATTTTAAAATGTAATTAAAATATATAATTATATTTTTTAAAAAAATGACAAATTATGTTGAACTAACGGACCAATTAAATGGAATTGAATGAGTAATACTTTTGAGAAAATATATGTGAAAAAGAAAAATCAAAATGAACAAATAATGATGAAAATGTCATAGATAGAGCCGTCACGTCGGATTGGCCGATCCCGCCTTACTTTTAAGGAAGGTTGAATTGTGATTTTTTAAGCCTGTTAAAATGTGGGTTTAAATGGGCCAACCTGCATGGGCCGCGGGTTGAGGGTGTGTTAGACCGCAGTGGGGCGGGTTAACCCGCAGGTCAAGTAAATATAATAATTAGTACTCGCTCGTTTAACTAAATGTATTTTTTTACTGTCATATTAAAAAATTATAATAAAACTAATCAAATATTAATATAAAAATATTTTTTAATTTTTTATAAATTATAAACATACCATTATAAATAAGTTAAGACGAATAAAATAAAATTTATATTATCATTAGGTTAAATAAATTATCAATATTGTCTACACATTGTTTTTCTTCTCTAACTATGTTATTCATGACATTGGTATTTGTTTCGATTTTTCATCATTTGTTTTGTTTGTTTTCCATTTTATTATTTTATAATTTTACAAATTCATAAAATTAATTATGATTTATTTTTAAAATGAAGTATTTCTTATTTTTAATTTTTTTAAATACACTAATTAATAATATTTAGAATTGAGAATTTTTATATTTTTTATTTCTTTTAAAATATTTATTATTTAAATTCTATAATGAAACTATTTTTAGTTATTTTTAAATATTAATGAAACTATGTTATTTTTAAATTCCTTTAATATTTTTAAAAAGCCCGTGGACTAGCCCGCTTAGTTCGTCACCCGTCAGTGAATTGGGTTGGACTGATGAAATTTTGATCCGCCCCGCTGCGGGTTGGCCCGCAAACAACCCGCTTATTTGCGGATTAGGGTGAGTTGTGGGTCAATCCGTCCCACTAACCCGTTTTGACAGATTTAGTCATAGGATATGCGTAAATGGTTGATTCTTTTATTTTTCTTTACATAATTTTTTAATAAAATCATATTATTTTTCAAAAATTCGTTTTAAAAATACTATTTTACCTAAAAAAAATTCAATTGAAAATTAAATTAGGACTGTTCTATTGTGCAATCACATGACATGAAATATATTTAATATTATTCAATTCATACAATTATTTGAATAAAAATATATTGTTGCATCTTACATTAAAATATTATTTAAGTAAAAAATTCAATCTCAAAGACAAACAAAACAAACTCATATTGATTAAGGATATGTTTATGGAATTTTTTGAGAATGGTTAAAAATTTATATACAATGGCGTGTTTACTTGTGAAATTTGGTTTTCCATTTTATTATTCTTTTAATTTTTTTTTTCAAAAATATCAAATCAAATATTTATTTTTAGGATGTATTTTTTTACCCCAAATTTCAACTATTTGAATTCTGTATTTTTTCAAAAAAAAAATGTATATATTTTATTTTCATAAAATATTTTATTTTATATTATTTTAATGCTAAAATCATCTACACATCTTTTATTAATTGTAGTTATGAATAGTTCCACAATTATAATGGGCTTCGACGATTTTAAAGTGATTTGATTGTTCTAGATCAGTTTTTGAAGTGGTGGCGTCCTCTGTTATATGCAGACTTCAAACTACTTTGGAATCAGGATAATATGTGTCCGTGTGCAAAGAAAAAATAAAAATTAAAACAAAAACAAAAACAATCTACACAATTATTCTTTATTATTATTATTATTATTATTATTGATAAAATTGACTATAAACATATAACAAGATGAATACATATCGTCATTTGTGGTTAGTGGAGATAAAGACTAAAGTTTGGTTTGGTTTTGGGTTAAATTTATTTGAAATTAGGTGATATTTGATTTTTTTGTTTAAATAGTATTTTAATATAATATTTTATAAAAAATAGTATATTTTTATTGAAAATTGTGCAAAATGAATAATATTGATTTTGATTTGAAATATTGAAAAAATAAATTCTAAGTAGTAATTCCTTTAATGCATGCAAAAATTCTATGGGAAAGTACATTCCCATCCGTGCAAAAGCACTCACAAGCTGTCCGGTAAGAAATGGTCTGGTGGTGCAGGGAGTGAGTTCAAACTCTGACGCTTTCAGGTCCACCTGCCACACATGGTTCGCCTAGTGTGACTTGTCTTATCGAACCTAGTTTGTAGGGTATTAGGTTCGGCCGAAAATTTACCTAGTAGTGCCCACTTTTACACTCACAAGCTAAATGCTAAAGAAATATTTTATTATTGAATTATCTTATTATGTTTATCTTATAAAATATCACATCCAAACTATTAAGTATTGTGTCTATGATTGAAAATATAGTGGGAGTTTTCTTATTTATAAGGGTGATCGGCAACTCCTTTTACCACTAATTGGTTTTAGGATGAAGCTCCAGAGTCCTTTCTTAATATGGTATCAAAGTTATGAAGCCCGTATTCAGTATTTATCCTGGTTAGAATTTCGAATCTTGAGGCGGGAGTGTTAATGTAATTAATTAGCGTATTGCAGGAAATATATAAATACATGAAGTATACATCAATATAACAATGCCTATATTAATATAATATAAGTACATCAAATGATAGTCCCCACAATACATATTAATCTCATGATACAATTGTCTATTAAGACAACACATATATAAGATAAAATAAATAATATTCCACATAAGCTGTCCGCCAAAAGCTGAAATCTTCCTGCCCCTGGTAGAGGCTCGACATTGTTCTCTAAGGCTCCTGCGGCCTGGGGGCCTGAGTGTTATCCTACATGTCCTCTTAGCAACCGAGGTAGAATTGTAACATGGCCATACTGCAATTGCCCTGGCCCTAAGGCCTAACCTCTAGGAGGTAACAATTTCATAGCTTGTTTCGATGGTATAATTTCAATCCGATGTTGATTTTTTACCAACCTAAAAGTGTCCATGCGGTACAAATACACCCATATAAGTCTTGATATCATCACTAATTTTCTACCACAAAATCTAGTAAAATATGACTTTCGTCCATTGGGCGTGCCAATTGTTGGTTTTGAAGTTTGACTTTTCAAGAGGCTCCAAACCTCTCCTAAAGATCAAGCGATGCAATTGGGTCCCAATAGTGTTCCACAAAGCATGTCTATCATTCAATTAGATCATGTACTTTAGACAGTTTCAACGTTAGAGCCTCTGCTCGGTTTCAAGCCTTAGAGGCTGAATTTGATGAAATTTGGATTGAATCTATTGGAATATGTACAATAGTTATTAAAAAAAAAATCAAAATTAATAAGAGACATGGATAAAGATTATTGAAAATCTAAATGAACAGATTAAAAAGGCTACAAACTAAGGATAAACAGATAAATTACTTAAACTAAAGATAAATTACTGGAAAGATAATAAACGAATATAAATACAACCTATAACTAAGGATAAAATACTAAAAAGATAAAAGATAAGATACGTTTTTGGATATCTCGTATAGTGTGTGTTCAATGTGTGATTTTTTAATGTATTTATATCCCTAAAAATTAGGATTAGCCCACATTCTAATTTTAAGTGGTTAGTTATTCCAACTCAATTCCTCCTCACTTTTGTATGTAGTTCTGATCATGGCCTCCAAGTGACTCCTCCCATCTTACATCTTTGACTATCTTTGATCTTTGTCAAACTTCCCTTTGTGGTTGGAGGACTTTGACGGCCTGAGGCTTGGCTTGTCGGAAGGCTATGCATTCGGGAGACTCTGACTATTTTATGTGCCCAGTAGCTTGAGGCATTTCCTGCTTTTTGAGTTTTGATTTTGTGCTGCTTTCTTTCGGGTCCTCATGGCCGAGACCTTAGGCTTTTGGCCCAAGTCCAACAACGTCCTCTTTAAAAGGGTCCGGTGATCGCTTTTACCGAGCTCATGTCCTTTTGTTATGAGCCGCCATTTTGCGTCAACTGCGGTCACTCCTGTTAAAAAATGATCCTTCTCAGCCTTCATTTCCTAGACTCCATTCCCATCCTACAATATCAATTTTTGTATGTAGTATCGACGACACACATTCTCATATATTAATCTAGTCTCGCCCCGAGAGAGCCGAATAAAATGGCCTACGATTGATCACCACGAAAGTTGATGGTATTTTCTGTCCCCACATGCATGTTAACAATAGTAGTAATTGTTGGTTAGTAAGAATTTCCCTTAAAATAGGTAGCCTGCACGGATGTAGGGAATCAAATTATCTTTGGTCTCTCCCAACTTTTCTAGAGTCTTGAATGATATCACATTCACAGAGGCTCTTCCGTCTACTAGGACTCGGCCAAGCGGACGGTTATTCATCAAGGTCCGAATGCATAGAGGATTGACATATTTGTTTTGTTCAGTCTCGAGCCTATTGAATATCGTAGTGCTCAAGTTGTCTTATTCTGCAGTAGGTTCTTCATCCACAGTAACTCTCTCTTACTCATGAGAC